GAGGGGCGAAACGTTTCTTTTTAACAAAAAAAACGAAGTCCAGATGACATGATTCAACCTTTTTTGTTGTTATATACCTGGATGACTGAGAAAACAAACTTTGTAATATTCAAAACGGTTTGTTAAAGCTAATACATCAGTATTCTCCAATTACTGTAGGTATCTTTATGTAAATAATGATCCTGTATTTCTTGCTGTTGTTTATTTTCCTCTGCTGCTTTGCACAGTGTAGTTTTTTCTTACAACACTAAATTCATGGGTGTGACAGGCTACTCTGCTCTGCTCAGATACTAATGTAACTCCATTACTCAATGGATGCATCTAGAGTGGCTCGAGCAGCCAGGCAGTGTGGAAGAATGAATGCTCTCTGACATTGGTTTTCAGATAAAATGCATTTAAACGCCTTTCAGAGCACACGATCCGCCATTTGATACTCCACTTTAGTGTTCATGTTGATAATATGTAATGCTTTTGACTGCATCTCAATACTGAAAAAGTATCTTTGCACTAAGCAACTTAAATATTGAGTAATGGCCATTTGAAAAGACCAAATGTATTCCCTAAATACATCTGTAAAAGCATCATTTGTTAAACATTTACTTGAGTTACCCATTTTCTTTTTCTCATGCCTGCATGTGCACACTTATAATATCTGCATCTCTGCAGCTGGACGACACCAGTTCCTCAGAAGGCAGCACCATCGACATCAAACCAGACGTAGAGGAGGTGGTAGTGGTGGAGACGGTGGAAGAATACATGGAACCAGAAGCCTGTTGGACAGATGGTGAGGACACTACTTCCACTGCGCCCAGTACCTGCACTCCACACCATGCACACTACCCCAGGCCTGCAGGGTGAAGAATTTCATCCTGAGGAATCACTTGTGCATGGAAACTGTATCTCAGCCTGTCTCTCCATCAGATGCTTACATGGCTACACTGATGCTTCAGTGCATGTTTAAATAAGCATTTTTAACCAAGCTTGGGTTTGGATAGCAAAGATGAAACGCAAATCATTTTAATACAATAAAATAATGTGATCTCCTTCGATCCTGTTAGATTATAAAATGAGCAATGTGGTGGTGTAGTAAGTTCAATTCCTTGTTCTCTTTGAGATCTACTTGTCTCTTTGAAAGCTAAATGGCTGAGATAAATGTCTGTATAATACATGTAGATATAGAATTAAATTGTTGCCAGACTTTGAACCTTTGTCCAAAATAAATGTAACGATTACATTTACCATATTTTCATAGTTTATATATAAGATAGTTCGTTAAAGGTTAACTGCTCCTCCTTACTGAGATATATTTTGATCCCAACAGCAGTCTGGATTAGCTTAGCATAGCTACCTCATCCTGCAGACATGACAAATAACATTCAGACTGCCAGCAGGGATAAAAATGCATCAATACAAAACACTTTTTTGAGAGAGAACATTTCATCTCATCTTGCCTCTTGTGTGTCATCAGCCTGTGTGGCCAAGTATAAATGCTGTTACCTTGACATCACTATGGGCTGGGGGAAGAGCTGGTGGTTCCTGAGGAAAACCTGCTACCTGATCGTGGAGCACAACTGGTTTGAGACCCTCATCATCTTCATGATCCTCCTCAGTAGTGGGGCTCTGGTAAGGAGGCTTGTGTTAGTGTTTGGACACACTGGAGACACAGATACTGACCTTAGAGACTGAAAAATTGATTAAATTGTAAAGCAAAGAGTTTGACTTGTAGAAAACCATGCATTTAGTTCATAAATTACGGTGATATACGTGCAGCTGTCTTGGCTATAACTGACTGATGGGTTCCGTTTCTCTGCAGGCATTTGAGGATGTGTACATTGAGCAGAGGAAGACCATTCGGATAATTTTGGAGTACGCTGACAGGGTTTTCACTTACATCTTCATCCTGGAGATGCTGCTGAAGTGGGTTGCTTACGGTTTTGTGAAGTATTTCACTAACGCCTGGTGTTGGCTGGACTTCTTCATTGTGGATGTAAGTCATACTGTTTATTATCTGTCTTTGTGTAAAAGATTTTAAGTAGGTAATTTGTCCTCAACCACACCCTGATCCAACAACAAAACACTGCTACATATCCACAGACTATATGTGAGCGGAGCTAAAGCTAATCTGCAGTTTTGCTAAAACAGATATTTTTATAAGGCTTTTATTAATCAAGTTAAATGGATTCTATGTATTATTTCAATATATTTTTTTCCATTTGTGTGTTACCCATCTTGTTGTCAGTTGGGTGTGGTTAGGTTTAAAAAGTCAAGATTAAATAAATGTTATGGTTTGCATTAGGTGAGAGGATGTGCTGTTTGGCTTTTTTTTTTTAAATGCGACTCTTTTTAACCACTTTCTGTAAGGACAGCGGTTTGCAAGGCTTTCTAGCCTGTCCATATCAAATACACACGCCTCTGTCACCTTTTACAGCTCCATCCAGCAAAACTTTTTAAATCACTTTGAGCTGCTTGAATATGAACTCGGTTTTGTCTTATTGCATCTAAAGTAAATGCTTTTTGTTTACTTAGAAATCAGTTTACTCGTTTACAGATTTTTGCCTCTTCAGTCATTTTTGTTGAAACTAGATAATTCATAGCCGAACACACACTTCTTCTGATACAGTAAGAACTGATGCTAACACACTAACAGATAATAAGTAATATTGATTAGAGAACCATGTTCAAGCCGTGCTCAGAGAAATGTCAGATATGTGTTTCTGTCAAGCTGTCTCTGTGTTTTTGATCTGTCAGATGTTTGATTTGTGCCTCTGTCCTCTCTCTGTGTACTGCTCTGCTCCTTGTGTCAGTCAAGATCAAAAGTCTAAAATATGTGTTAGGGGTTCTTGTCTCTATCCTCAGGCAACTTCAACCTCATTGTGTTTATTTCAATGTGTAAAGGTTGATTAGACTGGAACATCTTTTAAGACCTTTACCTAAATACAGAGTTCATTTAAACTGAATGCTTAAATCACGTCAGTTTTAGTTAAAAGTTTAAATTGGGTGTAATGTGCACTCAGTTGCCCAAGTGGGTAGAATAAGAATTTACCTGATTTCTGACTTTCGTCTTGAACTAACCACCTCTCCACAGTGTCCAACACCTTCAAGCCAATTCCTGTGAATGGACTCCTGTCAATGGCCAGATGTTTCCTTGCTGGTTTATTTTAATCTCATCAGACCCCCTCTCCCACCCAATTGGGCAAACATGCATGCACCACATTGTATAGATAATTTAGATAAAGTTTAGCTGCATTTCCTTGTATGAATTATATTTCCTCGAGTTGGTACTGCTTGAAATTGAACTTAAAGACACAACACAGCTAACTGTAATCACTATCATCATTTGCACAAAGGTTAAATATATAATTTGCATTGATTATAATTAAACCACGGTGTTCTGATTCTGGTTATTCTCACTGCAGAATCCCTTCCTCTTGTGTGTTTTCTATATCCAAACACTTGGGGCAGTGCGAAGGGTCGCATTTCCCAAGTTATAAGCCTGTTATAAAGAGTGACGTCCCTCCTTCCCTCTTTATTCGTCCTCCTGTTATTCCCTCTTGGAAGTGTAACTTTGGGACTGTGGTGATGTTTTGCTGAGATGTAATGATGGTGGGTGACAGGCAGCTGGCGGTAAGTTTAGTCTTCACTAACGCTCCCCCTTGAAAAAAAATAAAAAGTAAGAGATTGTGCTTGATGTTTGAGCTGTCATAGCCGACCTGTGTCTCTGCTGTTCTGTGCTGTGAGATGAAAGCATTGGCTCAGAAAGAGATGGGTGAGGGGGAGGTCACCATCATTAGACCAGCCTGTGTTTTTTCCTCTTCAGTGTGATTCTTTTTCTTCCATTTCTTCTTTTCATTATCTAATTTTTCTTTTCATTTTTTTTTGTCATTCTGATTTTTCATTTTAAAATGTTTGGGGGGGGGGGGGTGCATTTTGTAATTTGTTTAACATGTTTAACATGCAAATAACTGCCATGCTGAAATAGCAGCCTCATCACTGAATAAACTAAATATCTGCAGAAAGAAAAACTTTTTTTTTTTTACATACATCAGTACTCAAGTATCTTAAAGAGAGCTCATCTCTAATTGAAATGGGGTTGTGTATCAGTTATGAGCAGTTACTATCTTACTTGTTGTAGATAGCTCTTAAATTAGCTCAATTTGAAGAGTTATAATTTTGTTATGACCAGATTGAATTGCTCGTCCAAGCGGCGCCAAGACTGAAATGCTGCTGTCTTAAAACACCAGTTTATTCAAATCTACTTTATAAACTACCATCAGTTTCACATTTCATAATATATTGTTTACACTACGAATATTTGAAAGCCTAAATAACAGCTGTTGCACTTCCAGTCCAGGTTGAAGTGCTTCCAGTAGAAATATTACAATACATTTGCCAGAATAATTTCAAATTAAAACTGATTGATGTAAAGATTTATTAGTATTTATGCTCAGTTTTAGAAATAAAATTTGTTTTAAGTCAACAACAATCCACTTTGGTCTTAGCATCATTGGGCCTAGCTGTTAGCTCATCAAATCAGTCAGATTTCATTATTGTTTCGCCAAAGTGAGGTCATTCAAAGAGCTATCCACAACAGGTAAGATAATTATTGTTTTCAACAAAACCCCACTTCAAAAGATTGAACATGTCCCTTTAAGTAATTGGTTTAATCAAAGGAGATATATTTACTGTATGTTGTATGGGGACTTTTGATGTCATAATCCATTCATTTTTCTTTTTCACTCAAACTATTATCATTGTTTTGTTGTGTTTTCTTTTTTCTTTGTTTGTTTGTTTTAGTTTTGTTTGCTTTGCGCTTTCGTCATCATGGAATCACAGCCCCAGATGTCATTGGCCTTGCCTTGCAGAGCTCTCTGAGAAGGACGCTGAGATACTGAGGTCGCTACCGCTCAGCTGGCCCAGCAAGGGGGTGGGCCAGAGCCCAGGCACCCCAAAATGGGGGGCTCTCCAAGTGGGTCAGGCTAAAGGTGATAATTACCCCAAATACAGTAGTGTAGATAAAGGCAAAATCTTTATTTTACTGTATACCCATCAGAACAGCTGTTTACTTATTTGTAAGACAGGCTCATTGATTTAAACGGCATTGTGGCAAACATTAATTGCTCGGAGCAGCGTCAATAAAATCTAATTGAGAGTTCTGGTCACACGACTTGGACTCAAAGAAGAAACTGTTCCTCCTTTACTTCTTCATTTTCTGACAGCCTAAACTGTCCAAACTATGTATTTTTCTGATAACTTCAGTCAAAATTAAGATTTTGCCTGTGACAAACCTCCCTCCGTGATTTTTGGTAAGCTTTGGATGTTGTGTACTTCTTGCGGTGAGTTTGACCACTTGATGTCGGTGGCTGGTTGGAGGTGCTTTCACATGTGTTTACTGTTGATACTTTTCCTTTTTTGTAAGGAACTGGGACTCCCCCTGTTAAAGTACGTCCAGCATCAAAACTAAAAAAAATAAATGTTGTAATTTAAAAAATGTTCAGATATTACGACACAGTAGTCCCTCGATTATGGTGGGGGTTACATTCCACACACACTCACGATAGGTAAAAAAAACCCCGCAAAGTAGGAACGCTACATTTATTTTAGTATTTATATATTTAAGAATTTATAAATCCTTCCCACACTCTTGCAACGTTCTAAACTTTTAAACCAATGTCATTTTAACAATATATGTACTGCACAGTATCTACTGCAAAATTGTATATGGGTACTCACCAGCCTTGGTCTGGTTCTGGTCTGGTTCTGATCTGCTCTCTGCAGCTGTTGGGATGCTTTTGGAGAGAGCCGGACCTTCGGAGAGCCAGCACAAAACCACACAATGGCCCAGATAGAGTCCAAATAATCCAGAGGGATTCAGATGAAAAAAGTCCGGGTGAGCTCCAGAGGAGATGCCAGACCTCCAAGCAACACCTCCCCACTCGAGAGGCTTCATGGGCTGGCAAGCACTCAGATGGACCGATGAGGCTGGAAGTAGCCGTGGTCCGTTTCTGGTCGGTTCCGTACGGCTCTCTGATACACTGAGCGCCAAAGTCACTATGAATAAGGACCAAACTTTTTTAGTCAGGTTTGGATCTGATCAAAACTTTCCCTCCATTTCAGCAGAAAACAGCAGCTGGAAGCACTGTTGGCTTCTGGGTATTGTAGTTCTTTTGACTGGCCTTACAGTATAGGCTTATTGAAAGAAAACTACAAAATGGCGGCACCTGTCCGAAGTATTTTTTTAAACTTTTTATCCCGTACCGTCCCAATCACCTGAGTAATATTAAAGTTGACAATCATTGAAAAACCACAAAAGAGCGAGTCTGCGTAAGTCGAACCGCGAATTAGCGAGGGACTACTGCACTATAAACCGTACTACTCTTTTCTATATTTGTAGAACAGAACTGAACAAAGAGATATTGAGTCTCATTCCAAGACACTGTGGATGTCTACATTTGTGTCTTGCATCCAGTGAATGACTCCATCTCAAAAACATTTCTCTGTAATGGCCAACTTAAGGTGACTTCTTCAGGTTCCAGCAGTCATTCGTGCCTCACCACTCCCCAAAGAACATTAATGCAGCTAATGGACCATAATTCCCTCTGTCCAGTTCCTTTTTGCTCAACAGTGCAATTCTATATGTGTTGAACCCAAATCAACTTTGAAGCCCTAAACCATTACTGTGGCCACAATAGCTAATGTTTTATTGATGATTTTAATGTGTTTTTTGTTGAGGCAAATAGATCCACTTTTGTGACCTAATCTAAGGATTTAGTGAGCGTTTTAATAGACTTTAAGTGTTCTTTGCCTGCATTAATGCTTGGGTTTGCTGCTGCTGGATGGGATAAAGGGGCTGTACCAGTTTCTTTGAGGTTATGTGTTAACTGTATGTAACTTGACTGTACTCTGTGTTCTTTTGTCCTTTCAGTACCATCCAGTGCTAATAACTATATCAGGTGTGCCCTCAACCTCCATCCCTGTTTCTTTTGTGTGTGGTTCACGTGACTGTGGCTCTCCTGATTGACTCTAATGTGTTGATGTATGACAAAGAAAAACATGGCAAAAATGACACTCTTGTACATGTTTACCTGTATTCTTTCTCTTAGGTTCCGTTAGTTTCTCTGTCTTAAATTAAATGGGAATTTATGCCTCACCCCAAGAGCGACAAGGAGAGACAATGTTAGAGGGGCAAGGGTAAGGCTCTCAAGTCTGTTGGGTTTTTATCGACTTCCACAGGGCAACCTTTCTCCTTACCTTCATCCCTAAATCCTCTTCCTCTGCTCTTCCAGTCCTTCCACTTGTATCTTAATCATGATGCACTCTTCTCTTGCCTAATTTACCCTTAATTTGAGTTTTGTGTCTTTATCTCCTCTCTCTTTCTCAACCACAAGTTTCTTTGCAGGTACAATGGACTTTTAACATCTCGTCAACTTCCCCAAAATAACAGCCCCAAAACCCTAATGAACTACTGCAACTAAAAAATATATGACACGCACAAAACCAGTACTAAACACTGACCTTTTCTCTCAGTGTATATACATGTATAATCCAATGTTATACATGCATATGCATGAATAGATTTATGTGTGTATGTCAAGCAACTCTCCGCCTACACCAGGGCCGTCTCTCTTCCCTAGTGAATATTCTCACTTCTAACAGTTTGGAACCTCTTTTGCTTCTCTGTTTTTGTGTAGGTGTCTATAGTCAGCCTTGTAGCTAATGCGCTGGGCTACTCCGATCTAGGGCCCATTAAATCACTCAGGACACTAAGGGCCTTGAGACCCCTCAGAGCCTTGTCACGTTTTGAAGGGATGAGGGTAAGATCCAAAGCTAAGCAGCTGATCCTTCCGCATGCCCATTCAACAGTTTAAAGCATGCTAGAACTGATCTAAAAAAAAAAAAAACAAACTAAGAGGACAAAAAACCTGATTTCAAACCAGGAAATGAGAGCAAAAAGTCAACTTTACATATGTAGTCCTGTAAAATGCCTTTGTTAGAATGAAGGAATAAGTCATGATGCAGCTGGGAGACTTAAGTGAAGTAATACTAAAGTTAAATTGCCAGCAAAACACTACGTATTTGCATTGAAATTTTCAAAGAAACAAAGTATACTTAAATTTGATTTGTTTGGAATCAAAAATGCCTCAAATATAAGCAGAATTTTTAATAATAAAGCTGCCTCATCACATAAAAGACAAACTACAAGTGCTGATAATTTTACTTTGTTTCTGATCGATTGGCCAAAGGGAATGTGAAATTGGTCAAAGCTAACCAAACTTACATGTCATCTCATGGAGCATTCAAACCAACAACTCAATCAACCACTGCTTTCAATTGAGCTACCCCCCTTCCCCTTTCACGTGCCCCCGTCCCCTTTCTGCTCCCATAACCTACCCCAGCTCACACCATTCCTCAATGCATCTGGCATCGAGAACAACCAGCAGGAACCGGGGAGCTGTGGGATACCCAAAACCTCTGCCCAGTCAGTCACTCCAAAAGTCTGCATGCAGGCCGGCTGTCGAACAACCACCCAGAGGAATCTGTCTCATTTACAGAGCATAAATGTCTTGCTGTGACAGTACCCTGTGGTTGCTTCAGCTGTCCTTAAAATGATCTGATTGGTCTTCTCAGTGACTGGTGGTAGCGATAGGTTGCACCTGGTTGTTGTCACCTCTTTCTCTTTTTCTGACCCTCTCGGTGTCTTGAACCAATTTCTTCCTACCTCTCACTCTTCTTGAACTGGTTGTCTTGTCTTCTAGTTTGAGATTCTGCCCTACCTCCTCCTCATCCCCACATATGTGCAGTACTGTGCAACATCCACTCCCCCTCCCTTTCTTCCCTCGCTTTTACCTCCACCCCTCTTTATCCCTCCACTGCTCACTCCACCTCGACCCAAAATGGCTGGACCGGACCGCTGGAGGGTCAACACTCGTTTTCCTGCTTGTCCAAGATCTTTCTGCATCAGGGATGGAGACATAAACCACACACTCCCAGTGTTGTGGCTTTGGGAGGGAAATATTTGTTAAACTTCTGCCGTCGTCAGACTTTTTAATTATATAAGATCATAGCAACTGCTATCAGTCCATGTTGATGGCAGATTTTAGTTTTTCTAACAGTATTCATACTAAACATATTAAATCAGTTAGGATGCCATCTTTTTGTGGGGAATGCAGGCAGAAGCTTAGCAAATATGTCAGACAGCCATTTCACAAAAACAAAACAAAAAAAGTGAAACATTTCTGCTATCATGCCATAGCACCACATACTGCAGCGCATACAGCAGGCCCTGGCTTCCCGTTGCCTTCCACTCCCACAGGAAGTGAAACTGGGAGGCAACAGTGGGCCCAGTTAAACTCTGACTTTGAGTTCTGGGTGGGTGATGCCTCATAGCTTGACTAGCACTACAGCGCTTAGACAAAAATCTCTCAACCATAGACAGAAAATGTGTTATCTTTTTGTATGACATCCCAAAAATGACAAACCAAACCAGAGAAGAAGGCCTCTGATTCTTTTAGGGGGCAGATTGACTGATCTAAATTAAATCTTATTGTTTCAGAGTAAATTCTCATTCATACTAGATATCCAGCGACTAAAATGTGATGCCGTTGCAAATGAGCAGACATCGGTGCTTTTAGGCCCTGGATAGGCTTTATGGATGCTGTTACACAGAAATTACATAAGTATCAACAAGATGTCATTTTTGGAGTTGGAAAGCATGGCACATTTGTCTTAAAATCAACTATTACTGCTAGAACCAATGCCCCTGTGAATGAACTCATTCAGTGGGTGTACGTGGTAAGAAAGGCGAGAGTGGCCCAGTAATGCAAAAGAAACAAACGGAGGAATTTGATCCTGCTGTATCAGTTTGTTTTTTTCTTTTCAACTGTGTCTATGTTCATCAGTTAAGGTACTATTTTTGTTTGAAATGGAAATGAAAAAAATTGAATCAAAGCAATAAATAAATTAGTAGAGAAGTGTATGAATTGAGAGATGGCATTATTTAAAAGGATTTATGGAGCGTTAGTATGATGAGAATCCATCTTTGAACAACTTCAGTCTGACTTGGCATGGGCTGGTTTTCAGTTTCAAGGTGTACCACAGTTTTAGCAAGCCACACTATCAGAACCAGTAACATTTTCAATCATCCCATTCCTGTAGTTTAAAGTCCTTGTACTGAGATGACAGACATGGTGCAGTTTTCTCTGGCCAACTGAAACTCAGACTAGCCCCTTACCTTTTGCTATGAGCTGTCGGCTCTGTGTGACGGTCGAGAAGGGAAAATCCCCGTAACTTTTCATCTAACCTTTTAAGTAGCAAAAAATACAAATGATCACTGCTTGTCTACAAGACAAGCAGCACCCACCGTTCTTAAAGTCAATGCTGTTCGAAAACTGGTTTTCAACAAGCTACGAAACGTGTTTCTTTTGTTGAACTCTGAAATATATTGTGCTTTTCCCTTTTGAGTTGAGAAAATTCCTCAGATGAGAAATAAATAGTCTTAAAAAATCAAAAAGTAGTCCAGTTGTCACTGGTTAAACTTGATATTGGTGAAATAAACAGCTTCTTCAGAGGCTATGGTAACTAGCTGACTAACATTAACTTGTCTGACTCCCTTTATTACTTTACAAAGAGCAGAACAAAACACATTCACTCGTGTTCTTTCACTTTCTATATGTGTATCTGGGCATCAAAAAGGTGAGCTGTATTATTTAATACAATATATCAATATAATATACAGTAATAGTAGTTGCATTTATGTTTTTAAAGATTATATTAAAAGCTCCATTCATCTGTTGTGTTTTATTACACTGCAAAATTGTGATATTTTGGCTCAAGTTTATCATAAGAATCTCATACCAGCCCATGTTTAATGACATACTGCCTAACAAGTAATAATCATGAGGGATTTAGACTTTTTCTCTGCATGAGATTTCTTTCTCCTTTTACTGCAGTGAAGTCTTGGAACTAGACGTTTGAGTAGTAAATTACAGAACTAGGATAATTTATTCTCAATACCATGTTTCCCTTTTTAAATATTAATGTTAAATCAAAACAGTTAGAATTTAAAATAATCTTCTTAATCAGAATTTATTTAATAATATAAGGTTTAATTTACGCACAACAAATTATGTTAAATCTAAACTCATATTGTTCTGTGGATGTTTTTCTAAAGCTAATAAAGTTTTGTCAGGCACAAAATTTAACACCACTTCTCTTTATTCACCATCTCTCTAGTCACACATTTCTCTAATTATTTATGTATTGATTTGAGCGGATTCTGGAAATTGCACAATGCCATGTAACACGCATGTGTAATAACTGCCGATGCACATTATGCATTTCTGAAAGCCATTTTCCCTCTTTCTGAGAATGATTTCTATGCAGCATGGCCTTTTTTTTAAAACAGATTTTTTTTTTAAAGAAAATAGTTCAAATGTATCTGAGATTAAACAAAGAGTCATTCTCTTAGCTAGTGGAATGGCTTTACTGTTGAAAATTAATTTAGAATGGGTTTGGTCCACTACATTATGTATTTTACTATTTGGCACATTATTATTACAGTGTGTCCTGTGTATTGCACATGGGAAATGATTTGGACTCCAAATGTAGCGGCCATGTTCAGCACTGAGAGAATCCTGCTCTAGAGCTCCTCTCTGTTTGTTTGTAACGAGGAGGGAATATGGCTCCACAAAACGAGTCTGCCAAAAAAAAATGCATGCTCAGCTGTCTGCCTGAGAGCTGCTGGTTGGCCTGCCTAACACTGGTAATGAGCGGTTCAAGATGTGCTGAGCTTATTAAATGACAAGAAATCAGACTGAATTGTTAGACAACAATAGGTTTTTGAGAAGTTATGGGAAAATGCTTATTTTGTTTGACTTGGATTAGTTAAAAAGAAGAACTATGATAGTGAGGTTGACTGTTTGTTTGGGCTGGTTAAAATGGACACTTCATAGTGGTATGGCACACACTTAACTTTTATTTTACATTTAAAAACATTTTAAAGATATAAAAACAACCAATGCATGATTTTAATTGTTTATTCTGTTGAATGCATGTAAATCTAACTTACTAATTTAATACAAATGAAAGACAGTACACAACTTTTCACACAATCAAATTTTTGTTGTTGTTTTAAATGCAACACATATGAGATGGGTCTACATATTTTATTAGCCTCTAAACTACTGTTGGTTTTTACCTGAGGCGACTAATTTAAATATAATTGTTGAAGGAAAATCCTTTATGAAGGAACAACCAACTTAAATGTAAAAATAAATCAGATCCAGCTCTTGTATAAGATTTGACTTTGTCCTTAACTATTTTGTTGGCTGAGCCCAGATATATTAACTTGAAGAAATTTAACTGCTTTCTTATGAAAAACGTTTTTTTTAAAAAGTAAAGATATTTTTACTACCGTTTTTCTAACAGTTGTTTTTTACAGTCTAAATACACGTTAATTATGTGTTTAGCATATTAAATTACATTTCGCACATTACTGTTGAATATTATTATTATTTCATATTCATATGAATATATATCACATAATAGGCTATTTATAAAGTTAGACATATTAGGGTTGTTTCATCCCAATCAAGATTTTTTGTCCTCATAACTTATCTGAGTCATAAAAAATAATCCAGTCTCTGTCTGATAATTCTTTGAGTGCAGACGTCTCCATTGCAACAACATATGAGCCTACTTGAGTCAGTGTAATACTTTCTTCAAATTGTGCTGCTGTAAAAAAAATATGTTACTCCACTGTGCTGCTAACTGCGATGATGCTAACATTGCTGACGGGAAACGACAGCTTGCAGCGTCATACAGAGATCTGAACTGTACGTCATGGACTCAGATCAGTGTTGATCTATTCACACTGTTGCACTCTCCAGTTTGCACATCACACTGCAGAGGGCTGCTCTTCACATCACTGTTCAGTTGACGAACATGTTGCTAACTGCTAAGTGTAATGCCATAACAGTATGTAGTGTCTTATCTGGGTGGGGGGTGGGGGGGGTGGTGGTGGAATGAAGCACGTTGGTTTCATGGCTCTCAAACTGTTGTATCCTTTCTTCCCTGGTCTGGTTTAGGTGGTAGTCAACGCCTTGGTGGGCGCCATCCCTTCCATTATGAATGTGTTGCTGGTTTGCCTCATCTTTTGGCTGATTTTCAGTATCATGGGGGTCAACATGTTTGCGGGCAAGTACTACTACTGTTTCAATGAGACGGCAGAGGAGTACTTTTCCGTCGATGTGGTCAACAACAAGACCCAGTGCGAGGAGCTTATCAAACAGAACTTTACTGAGGTCAGGTGGAAGAACGTCAAGATCAACTTTGACAATGTGGGCGCCGGATACCTGGCCTTGTTGCAAGTGGTGAGAACACGCGTCTCCTTTCCTTTCATAGCTTTCTGTTTTTATTTGTTTGTTTTTTTAAAGGCGACTTGAATTCTTTTCTCTTTTTCTTTTGCATTTTTATGCTTTTCTTGATTCACTTCACCTGGAGGTCTGTTGCTTTAACTCCATTTGCTTTTTTTTGCCTTCACAGCATTATGAAACACCTTTGCTTTGTGTTCATTGTGTGTTTAGATACGCTTCCACATGCTGTTTTCTTTATACATGTTTTCTTTCTATGCATAAGCTGTACCACAGGACATGCATCAAGTTCGGTTTGAGTTTGACTATTCTTTAATGATTACAATCATTTATATATATATTTTAATTCTAGGTGGCTGTTTAGTTTAGTTGCAAAAATGTATGCATATAATCATGTTTCTCTTTTTAAAAAGGCCACATTCAAAGGCTGGATGGACATTATGTATGCTGCTGTGGATTCCAGAGAGGTATATTTAATGATTTATTGCAGTGCTGTTCTACTGTTTCACTGTGTTTGACAATGAGTGGAGTTCTTCAGTCATTTTAAACACTAAAGTTGTTGTTAATACAGAAGTTGGGGAGAACGTGCTTAGAAACTTATTTTTACGACCATATTTTGAGATAAACTAGCTTTTCTGAATTAAGTGCCTGCCACACTGCCAAAGATTTTGTGTAATCCATTTGCTCCTGAATTATGTGTTATGACTCTCAGATACCACCACAGCAGATTTTAGCACAGTATTTCTTAAACTGAGCAAGTTATAACTATTTTTGTGTTGGCTAAGGTCGATTAGCTGTAGTGGCCATCTTTAATTGAGTGGACTCTATTACTTGCTGAGAGTTTTGATACAGTTTTAATACAATATTGAGTTCCTTTCATGGCATTGGATGTTAATTATAAATAGCAGGTATGATTGCTCATGGCTTCCATAAGTGAGCAGTAGCAAATGGAAAACTAAAATTATGATTAAAATATATATATAATTAATTGCTTGGACCAGTTGCTAGTAAATCAGGAGCTGCAAGGCATGTTACCTTTGATTAATTGTGGGATTTAGTCCAGCTGTTTTTCCTTGTTTCTGTTTTTATGATAAAATTGCATACAACTCTACCCATTTCTTGAAAATGACCTGATGTTTAAACATGGTTTCACTCTTCAAGGTGGAAGACCAGCCCGACTATGAAGTCAACATCTATATGTATATCTACTTTGTTGTCTTCATCATATTTGGTTCCTTCTTCACTCTCAACCTCTTCATTGGTGTGATCATTGACAACTTCAACCAGCAGAAGAAAAAGATAAGAGCTTTTCATACTCTAAATTTTCTGTTAACATTGATTTTAAATTTTGGATATGGTTATAACCAAATTTTTGTTCATTTTTATTTTTTTACTTTGGAGGTCAGGATATCTTTATGACAGAGGAACAGAAGAAGTACTACAATGCTATGAAAAAGTTAGGGTCTAAAAAACCACAAAAGCCTATTCCTCGACCACAGGTATGCTTTTTTTTGTTGTTGCCGCAGTGTGCCAAGTGATAAAACGTACGAATCTGCCTATTGACTCCTCAGGATATCTTAGCCTGATTCCACTTTGTGTCCTTCTCTTTTCGCAGAACAAAGTCCAGGGACTGGTGTTTGACTTTGTAACACAGCAAGTCTTTGACATCTCCATTATGATACTAATCTGCCTCAACATGGTCACCATGATGGTGGAGACAGACGATCAGTCCGAACAAACAGAAATGGTCCTCTACTGGGTCAACTTCATCTTTATTGTAGTCTTCACTACAGAGTTCCTGCTGAAGCTCTTTGCCCTGCGCCATTATTACTTCACAAATGGGTGGAATATCTTTGATGTGGTGGTGGTCATCCTATCCATTGTAGGTGAGTGAGGTGGACAACTTGAAGCAATGAGCAGATGATTTTAAAAATGGTTTCCTCGTGAATTATGTTTTATTTTACTGAGAGCCTCTTAATTTTTTCTCGTCTTTCAGGTATGTTCCTGGCTGACATCATTGAGAAGTACTTTGTGTCACCGACCTTGTTCAGGGTGATCAGATTGGCTCGTATTGGCCGTATCCTTCGTCTCATCAAAGGCGCTAAGGGCATCCGGACTCTACTCTTTGCCTTGATGATGTCCTTGCCAGCTCTGTTCAACATTGGCTTGCTGCTTTTCCTGGTCATGTTTATCTTCTCCATTTTTGGCATGTCCAACTTTGGCTACGTGAAACATGGAGCGGGCATTGATGACTTGTACAACTTTGAAACATTTGGCAATAGCATGATCATCCTGTTCATGATCACCACATCCGCTGGCTGGGACGGTTTGCTACTTCCAATCCTCAACTACCCACCGGACTGTGATCCCAACTTGGAGAACCCAGGTACTTCAGTGAAGGGCGACTGTGGTAACCCCTCAGTAGGGATCTTCTTTTTTGTCATGTACATAATCATTTCTTTCCTGATTGTGGTTAACATGTACATTGCCATCATCCTGGAGAACTTCAGCGTGGCCACAGAGGAAAGCGCTGATCCACTCAGCGAGGATGACTTTGAAACCTTCTATGAGATCTGGGAGAAATTTGATCCCACTGCATCTCAGTTTATCAGTTTTGCCAAGCTGCCTGACTTTGCCGATGCTTTGGAGCACCCACTTCGAGTGCCAAAGCCCAACACAATAGAACTAATAGCCATGGACATGCCGATGGTGAGTGGTGATCGCATTCACTGCCTGGACATCCTGTTTGCCTTCACAAAGCGTGTGCTGGGTGACAGTGGTGAGCTGGACATGCTGAGGACGCAGATGGAGGAGCGTTTTGTGGCAGCCAATCCCTCTAAGGTGTCATATGAACCAATCACCACCACCCTCCGCCGCAAACAGGAGGACGTTTCTGCCAGAACCATACAGAACGCCTACCGTGCTCACCTCATTAGGCGTGGCATCATCTTCAAGCGCATTTTGTCCAGTAATAGACTGGAGAATGGAGGGACCAACCAAGACAAGAAAGAGAGCACACCATCCACTGCCTCTTTGCCATCGTATGACAGCGTGACCAAACCCGACAAAGAGAAGCAGGACAAAAGTAAAGAAGATTGGGCCAAAAAAGAAAAGGACAAAAATCAAAAAGAAGAGTGGGAATCCAAATGTTAGGATCCAGTGACTCAAAATTCCAGTGAAACACAATGAGATGAGACTCTGAGCCCAGGCGCCCAACAAATGTAGAAAAAAAAAATCATTAAGAGAAAATGACAAAAACACAAAAAATGTTTACATACTCAAACACTACTGAGGCAATGTGGTTTCCTATGTCGTCAAAGACAGCTGAACCAAACACAATCAGTTTACTGTGGAACTCCTGCTGCATAGCGACCAAGTTCATAGAGATGGGGAGTAAATACAAAATAAAAAAATATTAAAAAACGTGACAGTGCGCTGGCCAATGGCACACGTTTTTTGGGACCAACTGCCGCAGAAATGCTAAAAGTATCGTGAAATACCTGCCACCACCAAGTGTGGAATACCGCTGCAAAGCTCTACTGCTATGGGACTGGATCACACAGATCCTGACAGAACTGTTTTACAGTCTAATGTGGGTCCGTAACACTGAGTTTACCAATCTTTATCAAGAAGATAAAAATCAGCTAAGAAACTAGCTTTGAGGGACACGCTATAGGAAGGGAGGTGTACAAACCAGTAGACAAAGATTTTATTTTTGTGTTCATGCAGCGTAAACTGGCATCTTAACCTTATTTGAGCAGCAAAAAAATAAGTAATATTTTGCAAACACATCGCCAGTCTTTTCATACTTTTTTTTTTGACGTTCAAAAAGACATTTTCTACGCGGGCTGTCATGCTGAGCAGGTGCGAGTCATTAGTCAGTGTTTTGACGTGAGCTGAAGGAAGACTCGCTCAGTTGGAGTTCCAGATAAATAATTTTTGTGCTTGTTCAATGCATAGAAATGACTTGCATGAAGGCATGTTTTGATCAGGAGTCATGCATGAGTAATCATAGTCCACAAGACACTAATTCTCAGACCACTGCAGTGGATTTGACTACAGGTTTGAGGCTGTCCACTGAGAAAGTTACACAAACGGAAAGTGAAGATTTTGGATTGTGATGTAGGGAATATTTTTAGGAACTGTATCCTACCTTTCACTGCCTTTGTTTTGGAACAGACGGAGGACTTTCTTCAGCTCCTAATGGGAAGTGTAAACGCTCATTCTCAGTTGGATCAGCCAAGAGTGCAATAGAAAAGTTTTTTGTTTTTTTTTTGCTGCTCTGGATGTTGTTAGCGTAGAAAGAACGTGGAGTGTATGAGTATTAGAAATTAGAATATCCTCATGTTGAGGCTGCTCAGTTTACTTACAGCCATCTAAAGGTTACTTTTTATTTGCCTCTGTTACAGCAATGAGAGCAGGTGAATGTTTCACGCCAAGGAGCCAGTTAAGAGTCCAATGTGCTTCTGCTCTAGGTCCTGCAGAGGGGACAGAGACATGGTTCAAATTTAGCTTTGGTTTCTTTTCCTCTTTTGTGTTTTGTTCTGGGGCAAGTGGAACAACTAAAAACTATGCTGAGGCAAAGACATTACTGAGTAATTTTCTTAAAATAATTTTTTGTACTGAATCAAGTCAGCATCAGAATTTCCTTGGGCAGGAGGCTTTAGACGGTGCTTTTAGGACAATTTGAGTTTTTTGGCTTTAGACAAAAGAAAAGCCCTTCAGTCTTTCACTGATGTCCTCGTGATGCAATCATTTTTTTTTTTTTTAAAGGCTTTTGATCAGTGAGAGTGACACTGACCATCTGATTCAGCAGAGGTAGCAGAAAACGTTAACAAGGATGTGTCTTGATGTGCGTAGCGTATATAGGAAGCTGTGAAGAACCTGTGGTTTGGACCGTAGAAACAAATCAATTTGTTATTTAAGGGAGACGGTTAATTCAAAAGCAGTTTAACTGTGGACCAATAGATAGATAGAGACCCTCCCTTCAGTGTTCTTGACTGACTGCCATGAGAATAAAAGAGAAATGCAAGAGAAGAGGACAACGATGGTGCTGTGGTCTGAGTCAGAGTGCTGAAAGTCCCATGTTTGTCAGTGTATCATTGTGCTTCTGTGGGACCTCTTAAACACTGTGTGGTCTTGGACCCAGGCTTGCACCATCTTTTAAACTCTTTCACCTGCTTAGCCAGAGACAGAGGGTAGAAGAGCTAACAGTTGCTGAGAAAAATCATCAACAGACCTCACGTTGAAGCAGCTATGTTGTATAATATGCTTTGTGGGTGTTTTTCATAGGAAAAAAAAGTAAACCGAGGAGTTGTCGAGCGGTGAACCAGACACAACTGCCTCTATAAATGTTGCCATTTCTTTTCTACACAGGAGCGGTGGTCCTATTTCTAAATGGATGTCCGGACTTAAATCTGGCGTCCGTCATCACACCACTAACGCCATTTGGTGTGTGTTAACACTGCCTGTACCAAACCTCCCCTTCCATGTACAACAATAAATGAGGTCTGTTTACAATCGGAGGCGGCTGCGCACTGAAACCAAAAACATTCCCAATGTGCACCACAAGACGAGCGAGTAATGCCATCCAATGTACCCGTGTTCATCTTGGATGTATTATTTTAGAATTATGCATTCACATTTAAATAAATATAAAAATATTAAAATAAAAACATATATGTACAGTGCAGGCTATGTTGTAAATGGCACAATTGTTGAAAAAGAATGAACTTTTTGAGAGAAGCTATAAATATTGTACTATATTGTTTTATTTTATTGGCATGCTTTGTGTTTTTTGTAAATACAGAATTTTAAAAATGTTACTACTAATAATCAAAAAGTGAATAATAATATAGAATGGCTTCCAGTTATGCCCTTTGTCACATTTGTTACTTTTCAGATCTTTTGAGACACTTTTCACTTTGTTGATGGAGATTGAATGAAATATAGATATTATATAACACAAAAGATATATACATGTATACATAAATGTCTATATGTATATACATAAAGCAGAAGAACACTGTCACATTTGATTTTATGTGCAACACGTTCTGTGGATGTCTAAAACTGGGTGTTTCCAGCACTCTTGGGGAAATGAGCTCAACGTTACTGGATGTAGCCTGATCATGACAAAAAGGAAAATGTTACCAGCACATTTCTCACCTAACTGTTATATTTATCACCTTCGGCGTATAAGACACACCTACAGTCAAAAAAAAAAAAAAAAAACCCACCAAGGTGACTCTTCACTGCCCACCAGTTTTACCGAAGGACGACCGAAAACTACTTTTACCTGCAGAAAATCCACACATCAGTGCCATTACAGCTCAACACACGTGCAGTCATGTCGTCATCCTCACTCTTCTTTTGTTTAATCGTTTGTTTTTATTTCTCCACTCGATGGCATGTGCCTTTTTTTCTGCTTTTTCTGCAAATCTGGATGTCAATGCCACACAAGATAAACCACAACGAATAAAATAGAGAAAAAATAAACATGTTTTTGGAGGGTGGGGGGGATTTGGGGTTTAGTACAATAATAATCATGGAGTCAGATGATCATCCAGACACCCTCCACTTCATTCTTGGTAATCAACATTGTGTGATGTTAACAGAAAAAAAAAAAAAACAGCTAGCTCAAAAAAAAAGACAAAGGTCCTGTTTTTAGTGCTGTATGTGTGTCACTCACTTGGCTTGTGAAAAAGCAGCTTGCCTTCTATAGTTTGGTTTGAGTTCATTGAAATTTCTGTTTCCATTTGAAATTTATTTTTGTACCAATAACTGATTTTAGGAGGTTTTTTTTTTTAGCATGGTTTGTTATGGGCTTTTTCTTTTTGCTGAAAAATAAAAAAAAGTGCTTTTTCAAACTGTTATCATTTGACACCGTGACTAAAGAGGATATACAGTACAATATGCTGGTGTGTTGCACAACCACTTGGACTCTTGGTTTAGACATATATGAAAGATTGTCTTCATTTGAGCACGAACCTTTTTATTACCAATAAAGCAGCCTTCCAGTTACAACGCATCTGCTGTTCTGGTTTTTAAACGACGCACCTGTTGCTTATGTGTGAGTTTTACTTTTTGAAATAATGATTTGCGGGTTGGGCAGCACGGTGGCGCAACTGGTAGAGCTGCTGCCTCTCAGCGAGCAGGTCCCTGGTTCAAACCCCGGTCCAGGGGCCTTTCTGGGTGGAGTTTGCATGTTCTCTCCGTGCATGCGTGGGTTTTCTCCGGGTACTCCGGTTTCCTCCCACAGTCCAAAAACATGCATGTTAGGCTGATTGGTAACTCTAAATTGTCCCTAGGTGTGCGTGAGAGAGTGAATGGTTGTTTGTCTCGTTTGTCTCTATGTGGCCCTGTGATGGACTTGCGACCCGTCCAGGGTGTACCCCGCCCCTCGCACAGTGATTGCTGGACATGGGCACCAGCGACCCCCATGACCCAAAATGGAATAAACGGGCAAAGAAAATGGATGGATGGATTTGCGGGTTTTTCTTTGCAGGTTTGTTAGAGCGATGCTGCTGCAGAGCAATAACTTTGTGTTAAAATTTTAAAAACTTTCAATTGTGATAAACATGCATTAACATCTGCTTCAGTGCCAGAAGGTGGATTTGTGTCCATGTCTTTTAAAGTGTTCTTGATTATAGTTCTTCAGGCTTTCTGAAGCTCTTTTCAGGTTGTTGTTTTTTTTTGGACTTTGGCTGCTTTTTCACACATTTTTAGTCCAATGCTTGAACCTGATCATGACAACATATTGTTCAATGTGTGGGTAAAAATAAACAACGAGAGCAGACAAGCAGGGGACAAAAAAATTAAAAAACATCTGCAGCAGACAATCTGAAAGTCATGCTGAAGGAACAGGAACACCCCAATGAAGTCCTGACAGATGTATTGTTCTTCATCTACTCCCAAACTTTTCAGCTTTAAAACCACAGTTAACGATTATTTCTTGTTGAAGCATACAAAAGACTGCTAATAAGCTATGTAACAAAGAGCCTCATCAACCACTGCACTGATTTAAATTTATTTGTGTCTGATTTAACAGAACTAAAACTGCAAATGTTGGATAATTAGATTTTTGTCAGTCCCACTAGATGTTTTCCAATCCACAGTGAGGTCCAGATACCAACTCAGGGAACAAACGATCCACTGTTTGACACGTTTTCAGCCTACAGCTCTTTGGGAAACAGCATGTTGGTGCAAAAATGCTGTTTTCTGTCATGCTGTGCTATTTTTGGTGTATTTTTAAATAGATTGAAGTAAATAAATGGGAATAAAATGTGTCTTTGTGACAAACTGTGAGCCTAAAGATCAAGTTCAACATTGGTCGTTTGCTGAGTTGTCTGATTTGTCACCTCAACGCTGGCTCATCCTTTGGGTTTAGGGGTCTTTTTATGCCTGAATTCATCATAGCTTGGTTAAATAGGTGCAGCACTAAAGATGAGCAAAAAAAAAAAGCAACCAAAGTGCAAAATGCTGAAGTGAATTATGATCAGAACTACTTCAAAAGATCACTGGAAAGTCCGGTTCTTTGAAAGAAAACAAAGAAGTTAAGTCCTTGCATTACAAGAAATGCATAGTGCTCACCACCTTAAATAATTTTATGCTGAGGAGTGAGGAAGTTATAGCCGTTTTGGATTAAATTATATTATGCATAATCTCAACTGAGATCTTGTCAACGATGTTAACTCTCAGAGAGTATGTTGAGTATGATGCATAGCTTCTTCCACAGCAAATATTATCCCCATATCTGTAAAACAGACTGAGTTATCTGTCCAGTAGTTTATTAATTAACAATTGATAGGATTGATGCCAACAGTTATGTCCAAAGTGTTAAGCCAAAAAATATTGTGCAACATGCAGTGCTCAGCCTATGTGTTGAGGATTACCCTCAGCTACTACCACACCAAATTGTAGCTTGATTCTTCTAAAATTGGCTGAGTTGTAGGCTTTATTGCAGGGCTATTCAACAAAATTGCTCAGGGGGGCAAAGTTTCTGAAAGCCAGCAGCTCAGGGGCCAGACATCCATCTTTACCTGCTTCTTCCTTTTTTTGGTCGCAGGGGTCACTGGGGCCCATGTTCAGCAATCACTGTGCGAGGGGCAGAGTACACCGGACAGGTCTCCAGTCCATCACAGGGTTAGGGTTAGGGTTAACCCTAACCATTCACAGGTCGCAAGTCCATCACAGGGCCACATAGAGACAAACAACCATTCACTCTCTCACTCACACCTAGAGACAATTTAGAGTCACCAATCAGCCTAACATGCATGTTTTTGGTCTGTGGGAGGAAACCGGAGTATCCGGAGAAAACCCACGCATGCATGGAGAGAACATGCAAACTCCACCCAGAAAGGCCCCCAGGCTGGGATTTGAACCGGGGCGACCTGCTCGCTGAGAGGCAACATCTTTACCAACTGCGCCTCTGTACTGCGGACATCCAGCTGTTAAAGTCATTATGTAAACTAAGTATTACAATGATCTGTTAACTTTTATATTTGTTTTATTGCATTGAATCATAAAACTCAACTCCCCGGACTGACAACATCAAAACGTGGGTGGAAAATGTGAAACACCCACACCTGCCTCCACCCTCATTTGCCCCACTCTGGGCCCTTTAGCAAGGTCCTTAACCCCCACCTTCTGCTCCCGAAAACAGGTCGCTCTTGAAAATGAGTTCTCGTGATTCATTGAGACTGCCTGTATAAATAAAGGGTAAAAGAAAAATGCAATAACCCCCCCACCACCACCTTTAATTTTTTTTTTTTTTACATTTTTATTAGATTATTGATGGGCCGGACTGAAGTCACCCGTGGGCTGGAAATGGCCTGCCAGCCGCAAGTTGACTAGCCCGTCTTTATAGTTCTTTAAATGTATTTATTTATTCTTTATTGTGTTTCCTAAGGTCGACTGGTTGTCACGGTCACTGATTCGTTGTCTCCAAAAGCTTATCTGTTACAGATTCACATGCAATGATTCAATTCTGTAAGTTTCATTAAAAGCTGCTTGGTGGTTCATGAGATATTTTGCTAACAGACAGGTTTTGTTGTTGAGAAGCACGTGATGTATTTCTCAATTTCCTCCATTTGTCTCAGGACACGCCCTCCAGTCACGTGGTCTCTCCCAGGATTTGAATTTTCTTTTAACCTTCCTTAAACTCCTCGTCTCTTCATAATGTGCGGTCCACGCACGTGGAGCTCGTGTTTTCTATTTGTCGAGCTGAAAATGTACCGAGGCAGGCTGAGGAGAGGAGAGAGGGAGGGAGGGGGAGTTCAGACAGGGAGGGGGAGGTGGTTGAACACTGCAGTGCAGATAAATTAATGCAGCAGGCGAGGCTGAGTCAGCAGCGCGCGCCCAGTTCGGTTCGGTGATACCCCCGGAGCTGGAGGAGAACCCGGAACGACGAACTCCAGCGCCCGGCTCTGGGGCTCCCTGGGTGGGGCTTCAGGGAACGAGGTCGGCGCTGAGAGGAAGATTAAAAGAAAGAACTAAAAAATAAACTGCTCGACCCAGTTCTACTGAGCCCCCCCCCCCCCCCCCAAGCGAACTGTCAGCGCCTCCTCACCAAGGACAAGTTTAGCTTGAATGTTGGACCATCACAGGGGCGCCAACAGGGGGGGGGGGGTGTCTTACAAGTCAATGACCATCACAAGAACGCCCCCCCAGCCAGACCCTGGAGTCACACACTTTATTTTTTGGTGCAGCTTAAAAAATGGCAAGTTGGCTTTCTTGGACTGTGAGGTCTCAGTCTCTGATAGAGGACATTTGCAAACCGAGGTGTACTGCAAACCCACCCACACAGACCAGTATTTGCAGTTTGACTCCCATCACCCTTTGGAGCACAAGCTAGGAGTCATCAGGACTCTGTATCACAGAGCAGACAGCGTCCCCACTAGCTCAGGAGCCAGGCAGAAGGAGAACTCCCACACAAGACAGGCTCTAGAGCAAAGTGGATATCCTAACTGGGCCTTCCTGAAAGCAGAGAAGAAACCCAAACAGGACTCCAGTCAGCCAACAGGTGAAAAGGAGGAACCCAGATCCAGACCAGTGGTCATTCCATATGTTGAGGGAGTATCAGAGAAACTGAGACGTTTATTTTCTAAACATAACGTCCCAGTGGCTTTTAAACCCCAAAATACATTACGGCAAAGACTGGTTCATCCCAAAGATCCAGTCCCCCAGCACAAACAGAAAAATATTGTGTATGCTGTTCAGTGTCAGAGGGTGATCAGTCTTACATCGGTGAAACTAAACAGCCACTGGCCAAAAGAATGACCCAGCACAGAAGATCAACATCATCAGGCCAGGATTCTGCGGTCTACACTCATCTCCAGGCCAGCGGTCACTCTTTCAGGGATGAAGATGTTCACATCCTGGACAGAGAGGAACGATGGTTTGAGAGAGGAGTAAAGGAGGCCATCTTTGTGAAAATAAACCGTCCATCATTAAACAGGGGTGGAGACCTCCGGGTTCAACTGTCCCCCTCTTACAATGCTGTGATTGCTAGTATCACTCAGCCCCCTGTGAATAGTAAACAGTCATCAGTGTGCTAATGATCCATTGTTAGGCTGATGGTCCTTCTTGAGCATGTGATCAGCTGGTTTTGGTTGTCAGCAGCAAACTGGTTGATCCACTCTGAGAAGGT